CAACCAATATCTGCCGTATATAAAGTTGTCACCCGATATTATATATTCATTATTCAGTCAATATAGGACCAATGTTGAAAAATCTAGACATCTCAATATTGGTCCCTCGGCATATGTCCACATATATATAGGATCAAAATTAAGCAAATTTTGTGCCCAACTGGGGCAGATGTAAAATTGTTGCTAGGGTAGTTGGTTAGCTGGTCTAAATCATATTTTCAACGTGAGTGCTGAAACATTCTAGCAGTCAGTGGAAAAAGGCTTGATAGCTAATTATGATTTTGTTGAATGTTAAAAGAACATGTGTATGCAAATTTTTTTTTCAGTCATTAGTTTTTATTGTCAATAATAAAAGAAGACAAAACGAAGCATTGAAAATAAAAAAAGAAAAGAACGATAGCATTTACAAATGGAATACTCAGGTTCGTGTTTTGAATTTCCAGTATCCTAATATTATTAATATTTTAAAAAATTCTGTGTAAGTCAATAGCTATAAAATAACTGCCAAACAACGCCGCATACATTTTGCGTAAATCAAGCGTTTCAAATATATATTCTAATTTGCGATTCGAATTTCGCGTTTTTAAATAATAATCGTATGAGTATGGAAATATCGGGAACCACGTGCGCCATCACTGAAAGCCTATTGAAAAAAAAAACAGTGGTATTATTGGTATTCCTTGCTTCAATTAAATCAAAAAGTGGTTACTCAAATGCGCGATTAAAATTTTGCGTGTCGCAATAATATCGGAATTTTAGCAACAAACATCACTAATTAAAATATTAAGTATAAAATAATAAAAATCTATTTTTCTAGCGAACGATCTTTTAAATGTTGGATATTTCGGAATTTATAAACTATCAATTTTATACTTCTGCGTCAGCCTCACTACTTAATTAATTCTAGCCAAAGTTATGAAATTTCTTTCTCCTTCTCTGTCTAGTGTTCTTGAAACTTATCCGAAGCTGCGGTCCTCTCTAACAAATCTGCAAGGAATCGGTAGGGCATCTATATTATATAAAACGCTAATACGTATGTATCAATAAAACCGATATTTCTTTTCTCGCGTTGGCAACAGTTTTTTTTAATTGAGAGGATTCGGCGCGCAACAGCACGTAGTGAGCATCATATGGCTATTCTATATTATATAAAACGCTAATACGTTTTCATTGATAGGCTTCGGCGCGCAAGAACATGCAGTGAGTATCATATGTCTAATCGGGTGAATTCTCAAGAAAATTATCACAAAATTATCTTCATCGAAGCCGATGCTTTACATCCGGCGTTCAGTACTATTATATATTGGTTTTACAACACATGGTTTTAGCCCTCTGGTGGGAAAGACTTTAAAACAAAACTTACAACAGTTACTTTTCTCAACAAATGTAATTTAGAATAGTGTGATTAAGAAAAATATGCGAACTGTTTTCAATTTCAAATTAATATTGAAATGCACAGGTTTAGAATTTTCTACAGTGAAAAGTTTTTGGAACTTCAGTGTTCAAAAAAGTATACAAAAGCTAGACGTTAAGAACGTATCCAATGAGCGAGCAAAACGAGCATCGGATTGCGAAAGCAGTTCCGGGTGTTGGCGAGCGCCAGCGAGCAGGGGGCGAAGCCTCCTAGTATATCAATAATGCCAAAACCGACCTTTTCTAAGAAATAACTTATAATAACGCTTTCAAAATTTTTGGCGGATTTGAGATTGTATTAGTTGCATGCTGTCATAATGTTTTAGCGTTAACGAGAGGGATTTTTGAAACATTTTCGCAAAAAAATGATCAAACTTTTTAAAAAATTAAAAGTTCTCCAGTTCATAATTTTTTAAAAAAAAAATTCTGCCAAATATTTGCATTAACAGTTATCGCAGTATAAACATGTATATGTAAATATTCCGTAGAGAAAAAAAAAAAACTAGCTGAAGCAATATACTGTTTAGATGCTATGAAAAAGTACAGATTTAGCATTATTGGTATATGCATACCTGCGCCAACATCGGAGAAATAAAATAAATAACAGATTATACTACATTTTTTGGGCTACAGATACATCATGTATAAATAATCATGGAAGTCAAAAAGAGAAATTCAAAATAATATAAGCACTTACATTTAGCAAAGTAAAAAATATATATATAAATCTTAATGCAAAGTTGATTTTTTAAAAATTATTTATAATTTCTTAAACTATAAACACTCAATAGTGCAGTACTGTCAATAGTACCATCTGTAAAGAAATAAGAGAAGTATTTTTGCCTTTATCGGATATTTTATTGCCAATTTTCTAAAATTTCTTCAACAAATACAGAGAAATTTGAGACTAAACAGGAGATAGAGGTATGAACATGCCCTTAAAAAAGGAGTTATCGCACTTGAATGGTAAATTAGGAAGATAAAGAAATCATTGGTTCGCGGAAATCCGTGAATTAGCGGACGAATCACGTACCGATTGATTATAATATAATTCAATATTAACTGATACTGGGCTGGATTCAAGCTTAGCGTTGCCCTAAGCTATTGAAGGTAGTAGGGCCTTTATTTGTTCCAACTCCAATTCAAGTGTCGTTAATTTAATTATTGTTAATAATTAAACATCAAATTGTCTTTTTTAAAAAGCATTTAATAATCAGGGATGAAAGTGCCAGTTAGCAACAAAAAAAAAAAAGCTGAATATAAACGCAATCAAACATTATGAAATTAATAAATGTATGGAGCTTAAAAAGCTGAATTCAGAGTAAAAGCTGAAAACTTTCATGCCTGAATAATGAAACTTCCGAAAATATAATCGCACTATACAAATAAATCATAAGTTTCGAGTTAAAAACGTATTAAAAAAATTGCTGTTTTTTGAGTGGTTCAACTGTTAACTTTGTTTTACTGTGCAGAAACTATAAATTTCAAGTTGGGGTAGATGAATAGAAAAATGAACAGAAAGCACGAGGGAATTGAAAAAATTACATCCGCTTATTAGTTCGAGAACTATTAACTGCTGAACTTGTAGCAATAAGTATTGCGTCTGCAAATTAGGATGGTCTCAGATTTTGACATCTGTAAATATATATATATATAGAGAGAGCTTCATGGGCCTCTTTTAACAGCTTAAAACAAAACCTAAATAGAAATGAAAGCTAATTTAATTTTGGAGGGACATAAGCTGCTACCAATCTAGCTTACATGTAAATCCGGCTTTGGGCAGAACCCACAAATATTAACAATTTGTTTTAAATAGCGCGTGTTCCATAGCAGCAGATTGCCTGACAAGGGTAGTTCTTTCTACAGACCAATTATTCAAGATCTGCTGATTCATTATACTTTTTAACTCAAAAATCATACTGTTAAAAAGGAGCCACTATGCTTTATATTCAACCGAAAATAAAGGCTGCATTTACCTCACATGAGAAGCGCAGATCTAATATATATCACATGAGCAATCGCAATTTACCAATTTGATTCTCAATTGGTGCAACATCAAGAGACATGATACATATAGTACAAACATCACTTTTACACATCGGTTAATTTGTAAAATCAAATCTTAAAAAGGAAAATACTTAGCTAAAAATTTGTTCTAATTTTACATTTTATGAAATAAATTAGTGATTTTCGTTAGAACATAATTTTATTGAGTTCTCCAATTAACATGAAAAGAATTCTGGATTTTCTGATAGTCAGTAAAAAAAAAATATTTACTGCTTATTTTACTTCGGATATAGAGGATGCTGAAATTTCATTTTCTTCTAATGAGTTTCTTTTCCAAAAATCGTACTTCCGTTCAATTTTGAAGACTATGTCATCAAAGGGGCACTAGAAGTGCTCACTTCATCATCACAAGATTCAAACATTCTTAGGAAAAATGTTTATTCCTTGTTTTCCTATCCAGTGAGTGATAGGAAAATTGTCTTCATCTGCAGTGTCGGATTGATGTCGGTGTCACTTGCCCTCATAATTATTCTAACAAGACGACAGATTGTTAGAGTCACTGTCTCTTACAATGACACTTCAGGCTGAGAATAACGCAATCGGTCCATGGGCATCGAAATTTGACAGAAGTAGTGTTTGGAGGTGGAAATACAAGCTTAATGAACTTCTTTCGAAGTGGGGTGAACTGTGCACACGTGCAAGTTTTAAGTTGGAGGATTGAAAAAAATATTGCGAAAATGAAAATTGAGATCACTACAGTCAAACTATCAACTTCTCAGTTGTTCACTATAAGTGTTTAAAATATTATCTAAATGGAAGTTCCGACGGGACTACTAAAAAAGTTCACCATATTCCACTTTCGGCTGCAATATTAATTTAATTGTCGGGGCTTCTTAATATTTTGCTCAAGGCCTCAGCTTTTTAACTTGGACCTTTTTAATAATTAAGATTTTCAATCTAATAAATACAATCTTTTGGTAAATAATTCTGGTTTTAAGGTAAACAGCCTGACAAGGGCATTAGAAATTTTGCTTCTAAAAGTGGATGGCAGTCAAAGTTGGGAAGCTGTGGTCTTAACCAAAGCTAGTTTTTTTTATTCAACAAATACATAATGAACACAACGGCTTTAAAAAGTACACCATAAAGTACCGGGCAAAATCAGAGCCCGTTACAACAAGTCAGTACAGCTGTAGCATTTTTAACATTGGCAACTTTTTGAAAAATTGACAGATGATAATAATGTAAGGCATTTCTCAAAATGGTACACATCATAATTTAGATTAATTTAAAGAAATAAGAATGAAATAAAGCTATTTCCATAATAATAAAATATCAAAATTCTATATTTACTTGGAGTGGATTCCGACAAAAAAAAAGTGTCGACTGGCAGAAATTTTTTCAATTGCAATTTGTTATATTTAATCATCCTAGTCAAAGTTGTTGACTGTTAGTTCTGTCCAATATCATAAAGAGCATTGATTTTCTATGTTCATTTAGTTGCAGTTCGACAATATGAAAATGAAACTAAGGATTGGACTAAACACAGAGAAGCACTGATGGGGGGAAAAGAAAAAGGAAACTTGTCTTTGAAATTATTTTATTTATAATTGATGTTAAAATGACAAAAGCAACATGAAATAAAGAAGTCAGTTTTGTCGGAATATCTTGTTTTTCCACACAAAAAATGCTTGATCAGAAATTAGACCGGTGTTTTACAGTGAAAAGTTTTTTGGATCTACTGACTTTTTGTCGTCTCAATTATGATTTATGTTCTTAATCCATGAATAGAGTTTACTATGATGGTAAAAACGAAATGTAAGGTGAGAGAATTCAATAGCCACGTCGGGTGGCACCTGCATAGGGATGTGTCGTCATCCTACTGTTGGCTCTTCCTCTAGCAGCCACGGCTCCTCCAGTCCTCATTGGTCCTCTAGCATCTTCTGAAAGAATGACATTTTAGTATATGCAAATAATTTTTTTAAAGCAATTAAATTATTAAACTCAAATATACACCCACACAATCAAAATATTCTTTCTAAAATAATGAAATTCAAAAAAGTTTTAGGAAGCATAACAAAAATTATTCCATAAGTTAACCCCTAGCTCCAGAACTGCCAACCTCAGAAAAATCTAAAAACGCTTTCCTCAGACTTAGTGATTACAGCATCTCTCTGGTGGCCACTCTACTTGTAAATTTTAATTCACTGAGATTTTGAGGGTGGAATTTCTAAACATTTAACAGAATCTTACAATATTCGAGTTAAAAAATTTATTTATGCATTCATTAACAATTTATTCATTGTTTTGCACAAAAACTTACGATTCATGTTTAATAAATTCAGTATACATTTTACTTAAACAGGGTGCGTAGCCAAATCTTTGAATAAAAAATAAGCATTTTTTAAAAACTTTTCAAGCACTCAAAAAATCCATATTCAATCAATATTATTGAAAAACAAAATTTTTTTTATAAACAGTTTTAGCATTAAAAAAAAAGAAAAGAAAAAGGCGTAAATCGAAACAATCAGTACTTTCCCACATCACCGTGTGAATTCAACTTGACCCTGAACTCAGAACAAAAGTACCCTTACCCCCTATGTCAAAAAAAGTGTTAGAAGTAAAATAAAATAAACAAGAAAAAAATTAAAAAGAAAAAAATTTCATAAGGATCTGAAATTCTCTATCCGAATCGGAGCACTCGGGTTTCGGTTTTCAAGTGTGTGCGCAGGCGCAAGTCATAACAAAGGGTACGACATGAAATCCGCGTGAATGATCACGTAGCAAACTCCCCATTTTTCGTGAAATGCATGGGATCCACCAGCAGACGTGCCANGGCCGTCGATCGCAGTAAAATTCGGGAGTTTTTCAAATCAATTCCGGAGGGCGGGAGAATAACTCAAAATTCGGGAGACTCCCGCAAAATGCGGGAGAGTTGGCACGTCTGCACCAGATATCACTGATGGGGGAAAAAAAGCACTTTTTAAAAACGACAGCTGAAAAAAAACACCTTTAAAAGCTTTTAAAACGAAATCTCCAAAAAAAGCACCTTTAAGTACATTTTACAAACGCTACGCACCCTGTTAAAGCTCTATATAGGTATGAATACATTAAAAAAAGATGTTTTTATAACAAAATTAGTTACATAGTGTTAAATTGTCAGTAATTTTATCAATTGCAAATACTCCAAGAATTTTAAAAAGTCTAAATCTTCCTGAGAATTTCTAACTCTGTTTCCAGAGAGAAAAAAAATGCCCAATTTGAAATTTAAGCAAGTTTTTAACAACTAAAATTACTAAATAAGAAATAAATTTATTACAGGGTGCGTAGCCAAATCCTTCAACAAAAAATAAGCACCTCTTAAGCACTCAAATAATATTTTTCAGCACTATACACATTTACAAAATACAAAATAATTTTTTAAGACTTTGCATGATCACGATAAAATAACTAGTTTCCGACAAAGAACCTTTTTCTTGATTATATTAGCCTTTATAAAATGATTGAGAGATTTTTCGGTTCGGTATGAGAGGGTTGAAAATGAGATCTGAAATGGAGAATATCTTATAAAATGCAGAGGAGATGCACATCACATGAGAAGGCAATATCACCAAACCCAGCTCAGTAGACGCACACACGGACTCGCAAGTATTTCATCAAACATGTAAAATGATTGTGAAAACGTTGGAACAATGAGAAAAGTACGCTTTGGCATAATACACGGCTAAAATCAACATGGTAATGAAAAAAAAAAAAATCTCATTTTCGAAAAGGGAAATTAAGCTCTTTTTAAAAACACCCAATGAAGGACCCTTTTAAATAACAAAAATCGAAAATAAGCACGTTTGAAACACTACACACCATGTTAACAATGAGTAATTAACTTCACACTTTTTAAAAAGGATTCATAGGTTTTTCTAAAAACCTTTCCTGTTAACTTCGTATATTCAACATTACTATTTTTTGCTGTTGACATCTTCGAAGATAGCTATGATTCAGGGTTGGCAGGTTTTTGACATGTGACAGTTTAAACCATGGTTTAAACCGTCACGTCAAAAACCGCACTGTCAAAAATGTCGAAAACCTATATTCATATGTGAAATTTAATTAATACATAAAATTTATATATTTTTTATAAAGGATAGTGTTTCTAAATATGTTCTAGAAAAAATAAATTTAAAATTTTGAAGAAACACTTATATTTTGAATAGTAACCAAAATCTTGTACTTTTGAAAGCTCACTTCTTTTGTAATATTATGTATTCATTTTCATGTGTTATTGAAAATCTACAGTGATATTATTAAGAAATTTATTTATAACCAAATTTAGTGTATAGTATAGATTATACTAAAAATTAGACATTTTTAAAGATAAACATTAGCAGTTTTGTACATTAGACATCTTTTAAAGAAAAATCTTT